GCAAAATCAGTGGTTATCTACTGATCTTCATTTTTGATCTGTGTAAGACAATATGGCGGAAGGGAGTCAATTGAGTATCCCTATTCCCAAAGTCAGTAGGTTCACATGTTTATCTTCAGATGATTGATATCATTTATATCCAGTTTCTAGAGGGGGACGTACAGTTTGTAGAATTCCGAGGAAAGGAGGAGATAAAGAAACTATTCTGAATATGTCGAAAGAATAAAATATGGAATATTACACATTAAAACAGAATATAATTTTCAAGTTTCATCATACGATATTTAATTAGAGTGAACATTGTTTTAAACATTCAACAGACATTTCAACCACTATTCGTATCACTGACATTGTCATGCAGCAAAAACTGATAGGCGACGTTAAACGAGGTGAAGTGACGATCGGAGATCTGTTTCATACAAAGAGCTGCAGAGTTTTATTTTGTATTCCTCTGAAGAAATTCTGAATTACACCCACTATTTCATAACATTGTAAATATACTATCTTTCTTTCGTTGCAAAGTTTGCAGCCGTGCTCAATCACACAAAGCAAAGTTTTCACATATTTCCATAGTGCATGCACACTTTCATTCATTTATGATATGTTCTAAAGTAAATACGTATATGTCTAAACAGATTTCTAATTCACACCATTCAAAAGTTTTCGGAACCAGCCGCACTTTTTAACCATGGTACTCGTAACATATCTATGGTTACATTCATCAATGTGTCTCTTCCCTTTAGTGCACCTTTGAAGAATATAAAGAATTTCTACAGGCCATATATTCACCATGAAATGAAATCTCCGCAGCTCCTGCAGAGGTGTCTCCTTTGTGAAAGCAGTCATATCCACTCCACTGGTTTAGGGATGGGATTGTATATTTTCAATGTAGTTTTCCTTCAATTTAGTTGACAAAGCGTGACTGCTTCAGAGCCGAAATGCAAATCTCACTAGAGACACAAAAGCCCTTCTTTATTTAAGAGCCCTAAAAAGGCTTATAATTTCATTCAATTAGTTCAGGTAGTTGATTCCCAAGCTAAAACCTACTGTGAAAAGTCTTGCCACTTTTACGGATTTTAGGTCATGGAGCTGGTTCAGCACATCTTTCTTCTTCAAGGACAATCTCTCGCTCATTCTACCTTCCACGCCATATCGCGTGACCAAGAGCTTATCATTTGTGACTCCAGTGGAAGCAGACTATAGAAATGGAGCCGGAAACTCGCATTTGATACTACTTTTCTTTGTTTGAGAGACACCTCTGCATCAGAACTCCCCATCGTCACTACTTTTAAATATTGAGCATCTGGCGTTCCCTTTTACGAAACGTCCGGCAGTGTTTTGTCTTTATTGCCACGTAAGTGACGCTAAATGTATTTCAGGCTGCACACATCCACTGCCTCGTTATGCGCCACTTGTCTTTAGAATGCAACTATCAGGAGTCTCACAAAAAACAAAAAAGGAAAGCAACAACTCGTGTTTTTTTTAGAACACAGCACGTAGGTCACTATACTGTCACTCATTTTAGGCATCTATTTGAAGCGAACACTTCTCGAGTTCCTTCTGATAAGTTTAAAAACGAACGTCGATCACCGTTCGCGAACGATGATTGTTCCGCGTTCAGTCGGAGTCCAGCGTGAGCCGGCGCCTGGAGAGAAAACCAAGGTCACGAAACGTCGTCAGCAGCAGGGAGCGGCGCGTGGAGCGGAGCGTGACGGGGCGGGGCGTGGCGTGGTGTGGCGTGGCGTGACGTTGCGGGATGGGGCGGTCCAGAGCGGGTAACCCTTCGAAGGGAAGGGTGCTCCCAGGAGGATGAGGGCTGATGCAAGCTGGGTGACGTCATGGCGAGTGCGCTTGCGCTTGCAGCGAGGCAGGTGGCTTTGAAGTGCTCGATCTGCTGTTGTGGCGTCTTCCAGATGCGAAGAGGGAGGGAGCAACCAGTGTGTGTTGCGTGATGTAGCGGTCTGTGGGGATGTATGTTGTCGAAAACATTTCGATTGAGTGGGGAAATTAAGAATGAATGATGCAATATTGAATACTCGAAGGATGATGATGAAATTTGTGTTAATTATTCTGACGAAACTTTTGTGAGATTAATGTAACTCAGAGCCTAGATTTAATAAAATTAGTTTTTAAATATTGACAAAACATCTTTAAAGAAATAAATTAGGCTCAAATAACTAATAAATTTTGAACTGTAATGGAATTGGCATGTGAGATAAATTTCACTTGCTGTTGTAAGTAGAAGAGCTTGTAACAGTATTTCAAAGAGCTGAGTTAATTTTTTATAACGATTTACTGTTACGATAATATTTACTTTATCACGTATCATCGACCTATTTATATTAGCTGAAGCAAACTAAATATGAATTTGCAGATAGATTTAAATTTTCATATAAGCAATGTCGCCTATTGATTTTTCTTATTTGAGCACTAAAGATACCTTTCTAAGGTTAAATAACTTCAATAAATACGATTCATAACATTAATGATAATTACTCACATTTTCAGGTTTTGCGTACGATGCATTTATCACGAAAAGAAACCATACCAACATTAAATAGTTTACTTAATTTAACAAATCATTAAAGAGAGTTTTTTACTATTTCGCCTGTATTCTGCCTTCAATTTGCTTAAATTTCGTTAGTAAATAAAATTAATAAAAAAGATGTAACATTACTGCTTTGTACCACCTTCTACTACAGAATATTCAGTTGACATTTTAAAATTCCCTACTTCGAAAATTGAATTAAGGCACCGAGAGCTCGACATGTGAAAGTTATGGTTAAGACTTGTCTGAGATAGTTTAATAAATATATTATACATTTATTCTCTCGACTCAATTATCAGTACTTTTTCTGGCCAATACTAGAGAAAATTACTTGCTGTTTTATTAATGGAACAAGTTAAATTACTTGGCTTTTCAAATATTTGAATTTTATTTTCAAATATTTTGAAATCATAATTCAGGGTTTGCAATTTTGTACAACTGTCATCACATGTATCAATTTATATACAAACATAAATAGATGTACGTGAATTTTTTTAGAGAGAAAATATTACTGCCAAAGATTTTCATGCTTTTTTTTAAACAAAGATGAGGATTTTGACACGAGCTCTTCAAAAATGAACTGAAATTATATAGATTTGTAAAAAGAAAATATAGGCTTAGAATATAAAGCACTAAAAAATATGTTTCTTTCAAAGATAAAGTTAAAATATGTTTTTCTCCGTTGCACTGTTTAAATATTTCCACACCCCTTCAAATGTCACCCTTGACTTACTTTTACCAAATGTATTTTTTTGTCCAGAAATACGTTGCAGATATCAATATTGCACACATTTCAGAGATTGTCGGGTAATCGGAAAACTGACGCCTAGGATTCTAATGATTTCTATCCAATCTACTATGGATTTCTCAAAAACTCTCAGTTTCTAATAATGACAAAGAGCTTGGACAATTCTAGAATAAAATAAATTTTAAATGGCGATCACTATGTGTAGGAATTTTAGAGTTAACCGAAGTCCAAGTTTAGTAAGATATCGTATGTTAATGAATTCGCTAATACAGCGAATTCGAAATTCTTCGAAGAGAATCGAGAGGACTAAATCTAGTGAAGTGCAGGGTATGAAACGCATGCGACTATTGCCCATAGCATTTATTTGGAAAGTAGGTGGTTTTCTACAAAATTGGAAGTTCATTTAGGTGACCGAAGAGAAGGTAACCTACTACAGTTGTTCTGTCATTCTTGCTGATTCATTGCGTATTTTAAACGGGACTGCAGTTTTCATATTTTAGCTCTTATTGTGTGTGTGTGAAATGCATCAATACAACACATTTTTTTCACTGCTTTCCATTATTTAATCGCAAATTTTACAAATCACGTTTCGTACACGATTTATCTACTAGTGAAAATTTTAGTGTTAATAGAATTAACTTGCATGAGCTTCCCGTCAGTGAAGATATGTCTAGAGCACCTAAAAAGATAGACAAAGCGTTTCAATCCGTCCCAAAATGATTCACGGAACGTAGAAAAGTGCCGAAATAATGCATCTGGAAGGGTTCGGAAGTGTGTGCTGAGGACCGTGCCGAGAAGTGCCGAATGGGTGTCCCGAGAGGTTCCGAAGTGCGCGGAAACGAGCCGAGAAGTGCCGATGTGTGCCGAAGGCTTTCAATGTGCACGGAGGAGATACAGAAATTGCCGAGGTGGGATTTCACAAACGTCGAAAACCCGAGGCAGAGAGTGCAGCAGGGCCTGCAAAACGTTGCAAATTTTAGTCCTTTCTAGCTCATTGTGTTGAAGGTACCAGTACGACTCAAAACAATTCATACTTTACACATATATATTGTAGTTTATTAGTCTTTCGATGGCTCTGCAACTTTCATCGTGAGAGTCCAACCTTTTTTTTTTTCTTCTTCGCGGCTATTCACTCACTTTATTCGTTCACGCGGCAAAGCGTTATTTTCCCCAGTTCCAATCTGACGCTTTTACACAGAGTCCGGCTGTCGTGTTGACCTGTAAGCGCCGTAGCTTCATTTCAGTTCCACTGGCCCTGACCCAATACACCGCAGGGGCGCCGATATGCTCGAGCGCCGGTCGTGGAGCTCGATTGCAGATCCTGACGTGGAGCGAACGGGTGCTCCGAGCCGGGTGGGTGTGTGGGTGTGTGCAGGGGGCGCCGAGAGAAATCTAGGGGGCTGGGGCAGTAGATCCACGAAAGTCCTTTACTTCAAAACTGCCGCCCCTCCAATACGTAAACAGAATTAATTTATCAAAGCAAAAGAGGTAACGTGTAGGAGTTAATTTGAGTTAGAAGTGAATACATTTTTTTAATGTACCTTAAAAGAAAACTTTTCGGGTCCCCAGTTACTTTGGGACCTAGGCTGCCCTGGCTGCCCCCCTGCCACCCCTGAGTGTGTGTGAGATGTGAGAGAGGGCCGTGCGCGCGTGTGTGTTTGTGTGGGTGGGCGGTGTGCGGGGCGGTATGGTGGCGGGCGTGTCGGGCGGCGGCGGGGAGGTTAGCGCCGGGGCCGCGCGGGGAGGCCTGGAGGGTGCAGGCCGCCGCCGTGCACGGCGCACGCGCCTCAGACGGACGACGTGGCTTGGCGCGACGACAACGTGAGGTCGGAGGCGCGCAGGCTGAGCGAGGCGAGGCTGAAGGTGGAGCGGTGCGGGTCCTCGCACTGCAGGTACAGCCGGCTGCTCACGGACCGGTGGCAGTCCGGGCACAGGCGCTTCTTCTTCTTGTCCTGCGCAGCACAAACCATTCAGGTAGTTGCGAGCGTGATGCGAGGTCTAGAGAGTGAACTAGTTCTCGGTTTCCAATAGCCGAATTTTCACCCAAACCAGGCAAGATCAATGCGTTATCATTTACATGACAAACAGGTAGGACAGTTCAATGAAGGAGTAATAATAGACTCCATATGGGAATCAAAGAATAATCATAGAAACAGATATGGAAGTCTCCGAATAAATGTTAAAAACTTCTACGGCATGTGGGGATCGAATATTGTCACCTTTTGCCAATGAACATGGGGCGGGAAATATAACTTAATGTTTATTTTACCTGAATGTAGGGATCTAATTTTCGGTTTGAAGGGAGTTTCCAATAGCCGAATTTTCACCCAAACCAGGCAAGATCAACACGTTATCAGTCACATGATAAAAAGGTGGGACAGTTCAATGAAGGAGTAATAGTAGACTACATAAGGGAATCAACGAATATCCATATATATATATATATATATATATATATATATATATATGTCTAAGTCTCAGGATATATGTTAAAAACTTCTAAGATATGTCGGGGGTCGAATATTGTCACTTTTTGCCAACATGTGGCGGGAAATATAACTTAGTGTCATATTATCTGAATGTAGCGACCTCAACTTACACTGGTGTTCGGAAATACCTTTGAATGCGTCGGAATATGTTAAGCACCAGTGCTTGATAAACCGTCTATCAATCAGGGGCAAATGTTATGTATGCTTATTCATTATGATACCAGATGATCATTACGAAAAAATAACAGTTTCGTCCCCTCTTTACATGCCGTAGAAGTTTACTACATTTAATCAAACAATTATAAATACCTGCAATTCCCAACTCGTACTTTAATGTAATCGATCCCATCTCTAACTTAAGTTCTCTTGCATTTCGGGCCCTGATGCGTCATGTGTTCCGTGAGTGGGCTGAGTAATGCTTAATATATTCTCCTTACATCGCGGTAAGTCCGCTTAAAAGAAAATGTCTACACACCTCGTGCTGAATTTGCTTGTAAGTCAATAATATTTGTTTTTAACTAATAACACTTGTCTCCACTTCGTTATTTCTTACGCTTACTTCGTATTGCTCCTTTCCTACAAATACCTCCAATTCCGTAAGTACGAAACTTTCCCCGATTGCTTATTCGCTGTCTTGTTTGCCAGTGAGGTTTATGGACCTGTAGTGAGCGAGCGAACTATCCATTTACAACGACGCTCTAACATTTATGTCAACAATTGGGTAGATATCTGCATTTCATGTTAGCGAAATTTGATCATCGCAATTAAAAGTGATACGGACGGTGCGCTAACCACATACTGTCCGATAAACACTCTAGTAGGCAGCGAAAGCAAATGAGTTGAGTGATTTTTCAATTTTACTGAGTATATTTTATTTTAAGGGCGCGACTGTCAATGTGGGAGCAGGTCTGTCAACGGTGGTTAATGCTTGGCTCTCTGTGTGGTCAGCATGTCGACGTCGACTCTGAAAAACGTGCTATCAGCTTTTATTTTATTCAGATAGCACCCTGTGCGTTCGCCTGGTATCATATTTTGAAAACCGTGAAACAATTCCTGAACAATCCATACTATTGAGACTGAAACGTCACTATTTAATGCGAAATACGAATATACAGAAAAATAGAAAATACAAAGCCTTAATTTTGTGCTATTTATAACGTAATCATTATTGCCCTGGTCACTAAAGTATTTGCAATATCGTAGTACTTTTGGAGTCCCGTCACGGTTTACGTGTATCATTAAAGTTTTCTAACTACGAATATATCCGAAGTGGTATTTGTTAGATGTTCAAAAACGTTAATACTTTTATACCATATTGAATAAAATAGACGTTTAAAATAGACGTAGAGTTTCAATACGTCTATAAATTGTTACATATAACCCAAAATACATCATTAGCGCTCACATTTAAATGGATCCTCTCTATAGATAATCAGGGACGGATTCAGAAAAAAATTTGAGAGGGGAATTTTTTTCGAAATGTTTTGGTCGAATGTGTCATATTAGAGATTATGTAGAATGACGCAGGGTTAACTCAGCTCATATTGCGATACAATTTAATTCGTTTTAATGTTTATTCGAAAATATTTTTTCTTGAAAGTTTCGTGTCAAGTTAAAATTAATAGTTACTGAAAAATGTTTGAGGGGAAATTTTCCCCATTTTCCTCCCCGTGGTTACGCGGCTAAGAAAATACGCTAAGAATAGATGACGGTTATGACAATTTCTAAGAAACCATTTATACCAAACCTGGTAAGTGTGATTCTGCATAGGGTATCATTTTTCTCAAATAATGCGAAGTTAGTTTACAAAAAGTTCGTTTTTCGTCGGTCCCTCCGCATTTTCGAAAATTTTCAAAGATACAAATAATGCCAGAAAGTATGTGCTGTTGTAGCACCATTATATTATTATTTTGCTTCCTTTACCAAATCTTAACATCCGGAACATTCTGTGATTTAACGGCAGGATCAATCATAGAAATAATGAAATATCAAACAGAAATATATAACCAGATCATCATTTGCTGTTATTATTGAACATATTAGTATAGATTTTTAAGAAAACAAACATATTGGAAGACAAATCTCTATTGACATAACTCATTATTGTAGTGCTCATATTTACAATATCGGAAAAGATGGTGATAACCAGCTTATGAGTTTTTAATGAAAATTGTTAGAATGAATTGCTAATTACACGTAATTGCATTTTCATGAAATGGTCAGGTTTAATATTTATTGACACAATGGTATGGGGCACAAAATCGTACAACTCAATTGGAAAATGAGTTTACTCGGAAGTACTAAAACAGCGAGCCAACAAAAAACGATCAACGAAAGATAAGCACGTCACAATATATTTTCGCCACAATTCCACGAAGGATAAAACCCTAAACCGCACCTGAATTAATAAGAAAGTTATTTCAACGACGCAAGCCAATGCCCGCAGCTACGTTCTCCCGTTGCGCACATAAAAAGGGTTTTATTGGAAATCCTGCAAATGCACGTTCGCAGAGTTCAGCCCTCGGAAGTTTGCAGCTTCCATCGACCACCGCCCTTCCGAGAAAGGAGACGCGCCAAAGCACGGCTTTTTCCGAGAAATGGCCGTCACTTGCAGGAAATGCAGTTGTAACTGGGGAAGATCACAACTCGTAAAGCTACTCCAAACATCGTAGCGATCGTTGAACAAATACGTACACAAAACTCTTCAACCCCCTCAAGAGTGTTCTCATATCTCGATCCCCATCTTTTTACAACAGTCAGAATCACAAAAATGTAATCTCAGTGGTACTCTAATACATAACTCAACAATGTGTAAACGAAAGACAATATATCTGATTTTACTTCATTTATGATTTAATCAAGTGGCAATTAAATCTAGTGTTTATATGGATCGCATAATAATCGTTAATCAATAATTTCCATGTGCTTCTATCAATAAATCAAATAGTATCAATCAATAACAATTATTTGTCAATCAATAAGTTGCACATTTCCCGAATGTTTAGCCCCGTATGCTCCTAATGCTCTCCACATGTTTCTTAGTTTTTTCACGTACAACCGTCTGAAATAGATGGTGTGTGTCCATACAGACATCCTATTTGTGAGGCGTTTCTTTTAAATATTTCCGGTTAATTTATTCCATATCAACTGACTGAATACAATCATTGAATATTTTAATAGAACTTCACATCATGAGCAATTACTTATGTAATTCCACAAAGAAAAGCCAGAAACTGCGAGGTACAAGGCTCGGCTAGTGTCATCCGCCACCCCAATCCAAAGGGGTTTCAATCACCCCTATAAATTACGTAAAAATTCTTACTTGTTCAAGCAGGAACACACGGGCGCATTTGGAGTAGAGAAAATGTACCGCCGACTACCTTAAATTCGTCATTTGTATTTTTTTAAATCTTCCATTATTTTTACACATCCCAGCAGTGGAAAACGATCAGGGCCTCTCGCGGTACCTGTAGCGCCATTTTTATAAGAATGGTACGTTTTGACAGCTAGTGCTCGCAACACAAGTGTAGGTTCTGGGGTCGTTGTGTTTTTGAGTCGATTAGACTCTCTTCTTCCTTAAATCGTTCGAGAATTTGTGAATTATGGTGAGAAAGTTTAAAACAGATAGTCAAGTGCTTACAGAATTGGGGTTGCCCATTATTTTTTGCTTTACACTGTTAATGCCTAAGGTTCTAAACCGGGGTGGTCACCTCGGTTTCCAACCTTCAACCACGTCTGATAGCAGTTACTACTTTACTACTATCGACCTAATGCCGAACCCTTTTAGTCCCACTGTAGCCATATGGCTACATCCCTTTCTTGGTCTTATTATATCGCTTGAATAAAATCTAACGAATAACCATAAATTATATGGATTTGTTTGACTTATTTGAATCATTTAACATATATATACATATACATATATATATACATATATATACATATATATATACATATATATATATATACATATACATATATATATACATATACATACATATATATATATATGTTTTTTCTGTGGAATTCTGTAGTTTTTTTTCTCTTTGGTGCGCATTCAAAAGTTATTCCTGACACTCCAGGGTCTAATTTTTTGTTGAATTTCTCAGCGATGGTAAATTTCTGAGATAAATGTATCTTCCGTTTCGAAGAATAGAGTTTGTTTACAGCACAGATAATTACAATGGGTCATATGAATAAAAATGTGCCCGTGCTCAGGAGTACTTGCTTCGGAGCAAAGTGAGTCTACTCCGTGGCACTGAGCAGAAGCTCCATATCGTATGAATAAAAACTTCGTATGTCTCCAAAGAACTTACTCATGTCTCGCGAGCATTTGCTAGTCGTGAACAAGAGATAATGCAGGCTAAGAGTTTTAAAAATTGGTTTCTTGAGTAATAAAGATGTTACATACGTTACGCGCGTCGCGCACATTTGTGCGAAATAAAGAGCAATATTTTTTGTCT